GCCCTTCCAGGCCGCGAGCTGACAAAGACAACCACGACCACGACTACGACCGACCACCCAACGACACGACTTGCCCCCGACCCCCTCCGCTTGAACCCCTTCCGCCACCTGGCTCAAGGCGAGCACAGCCTCACACCTGCCCCGCCGCCCGAAGACGCAGACAGCCGACCCAGACTCGCAGACCCACCGGTCGACCGCAGCGCTGGGTATTCGCCTTTGCCCACTAGGTGCGCCACGAGGAACCACCGTCGTTCCAGACGCCGCACCGAGAAGAGGGAGAGAGCGAACAGAGAGGCACACGCCTACCACGAACATGCCGAGACCATGCGGCAGCAGGAATCTTTCTCCAGGCGACAGACCTACCTCGAGGACCGGTTCTACCTGAGGCGGCACGCGACGCGGGGCAGCGTAAAAATCGAAGAGCGAACCACCACGCAGCCCGACTACCAAGCTCACAACACCACCGACCACGACTCATCCACACCAAGCACGCGAGACTGCATCCAAAAGCTCCTGCGCGCGCCCCTCGGACCCAACACGAGACCGGACTACACAAACGAGGGCGCAACGGCCGTCATGATGCAGGCCGGGGTGGGGACGCTGGAGACGGACAGCCCGACCCTGCAGCCGAGCGCCCGCCAACGCGCCCGCCAGCGGAAGAGGAACGCTGCCGAGCCAACGCCAGCAAGGGGACCGCAGAGCGTTGCCAACACGAGGATGCCACTTCCGTCCAGTGGCAGCCCACGATGCTACCACCACGTCCTGCCCGCGCCGGGCCGACAAGGGCAACGCAGAACTGCAGCTACCGCCAATGCCCTCCCGCCACCCTTGCTCACACCGGCAGCCCCGCAGCTCCCAGAAACGGGAGCCACCGCTTCTACCTGGCGCGCAAAGGCGACGAGGGCAAGCCCTCGCACCAGAGCCGCGCGCAAACGGGCGGCCGCAGCAGGAGAAGCAGCAGAAAGCACCTTGCACCAGCAGAGCGACCACCGCGACCACCAACACCACGCGCAGCAACACCAGCGCGACGAGGAGCACCGCAGCGGCAACAACGCCCACGACTGCGACCAGCACCACGCGCAAGAACACCAGCGCACAGCACAACGCAGCGACCAAGACCACCACGACGTGCACCACCACGAGCAGCAGCACCAGCGCAACCCCTCCAAAAGCCGCCGCGACGCGCGATGGGGTTACCGAGGCGTTCGAGTGGGCGAGGCCAGCCACCCAGGACCTCCAGACGCACCCGGGGACAGCCCCCGAACACCGCGCCCGAGACACACGACGTCACCACCAGAGTCGCCAGAGCACGCACCCGGCGGCGCGGCGCCAATCCCGTCGCAGGAAGAGACCCCGCCGCGGGCTCTGCTCCGGCTACAAGCCGCAGGGTTTCAGCTTGGCGCGCCAGCCGTGCCGGACCACTTTGGCGCCGTCTTCGGGAGGGCGCCAGAAGGCGGATGGAATTTTGCGGGCTTATTCGCCCCGCACGGCGACAGGCAGGGCGAGGCAGCAGAAGCGGCAGCAACAGCGCGGGAGGAGCCAGACCGATCACCAGCGCCGGCAGAAGACGCCAACATCTGCGTCGTCTGCCAGGAAGTGATCCCGCACCATGGGGCGGGCAGAGACACACCAACACAGGAGGCATGCTGTGGCGCCCACTTCCACTTGGGCTGCCGCGCCGACTTGGCCCGCCACCTTGGCGAAGACACCACTTGCCCGCAGTGCCGAGCCAGACTCCCGACCACCGCCGAGTTACGGGCATGGTGCGCCGCGCAGGGCGTGGACATAGACCGACCGCCGCCCCCGGCCCACGACACCAGCGCCCAGGCCGTCCCAGATTACAATGGGTTTCGAAGCTACGCGCAAGGCGAAGAACCACCACCACGGGAGCCACCGCTGCTCCGAGCGCTCTGCTGCCGACGCCTCGGCCCACCGCCCGAATTCTCCGAAGTGCCAGACCGCCGCATGGAATGGTCCCCGGAGATCGCTGCACGCGACACCAACGGGATGATCACGCAGTGGCTTGAGTCATGGCTTTGCCCACGCTGCGGGGCGCGCTGCGCCGTCGACACGATCGCGCCACAGAGCGGCCAACAGATGTGCGCGAGGTGCCTAGAGCAGGGCACGTGGACCGCGGAAGCCAGCACGGCCGAAGGCGAATGGAGGTGCGCTTTGTGCGAACCAGACGCATGGACCAGAGAAGTGCCTTCTGCCCCACCACCGGCCCCGCCAGGTCCAGAGCCATCACCACCAGCCCCCCCGCCAGGGCCAGAGCGAGCCGCCGCGAGGCCGCCACAACACAGCCCTTTCGCCGGCTGGGCCCCACCGCAAGCGCCCCTCCAGGCACGCACCAACTCGGCAGCGTACGTGCCCCTGCTGCTAGCAGCCGCCGGGCTTTTAGACCCAAGCAAAGGGGCGCAGTGGAGTGAGCACCGCCTCACACAGGCCTGGTGGCAGCCGACGGTAGAGACGTTGCGGCTTGCAGAACCTGCACTAACAGGGCCCTTTGTCCAAATGCTGGCGCACACCGACGCTCGGCCCGGGGAAGTACCAGCGGTGCTTGCTGCAGACGGAGGAGAGCGCCCAGGGCACGTATCCTTTGCGCCAGTCGTCCAGGCCGTGGCGCACAGCAGCACCGGCTACATACAGCCGCTGGTGCAAGACCTCCTCCTCGAAGCCTTCGGCGGCGGCGTGCTTGCACGAGGAGTTGACGCACGCACAAACGAGCTGCGCAACCCAAGCTTCTGGGCAGACGCGGCGCCTCCGCCGCCGCTCCCACCGCCAGAGGCGCCCCAGGAGCCGGAGCTGCCTGGAGACCAGCACGCGAACGGCCCTGCCGCCGTGGTGGGCAGAGGCGCCCCCGGAGACAGAAGCGGAAGAGGCGCCAGAGAAAGCAGACGAGGAAGAGGCGTCAGAAGAGGCCGAGGCGGCGGAGAAGGGGGAGGAGGAGGCCCGAGCAGCGGCAGCGACGGCGGAAACACGGGCGCGGAGGAGGGAGACCAACGACGGCGGCAGCAACTCCAGCACTGAGGAGACCGACCACGAGGCCGAACCAGCGCAGGCCCCAGCCCCGAGCAACGGACCCACCGAAGAGTCCTGGGCAGCTCTCGGGGGCATCGACCTCCAACAAGAGCTACGGAGATTCGTGCCGACACTACAGAACGTGCCACGTTTCCTGCGCGCGGAGACCCGGATGGCGTTCACCACGGCCCTGCAGAGGATCAAGCGAGGACACGACCAGGGCAACCAAGCAACAACCCACCAAGGATGGACACTGTTCCTCCTCGCCTCGAGGCTCCTGCTAAGCAAGCCCAAGGGTACCGACGCCGAGGGCCGACAAGAGCTCTTGGAACGCGCCCAACGGTTCCGCCAGGGCGACTGGCTGGCCCTGCTACACGAGGCCAACACCACGGCCGGCGCGCGCGCAGCGCCGAGGCCAGCCACAGAGGAGCAACAGCAGGAGAGACGCAGAGAACAGGCTTGCGCGCACGTCCGAAACGGCAACCCGTCACGGGGGAGACAGGTCTTGACCGCGGCGGCGATTGCGCCCGGCAACGGGGAGACACTAAACAGGCTGCGGGACCCGGCCCGCCGACCGCCTACCCTGAGCCGCCGACTACCCGCCAACCTCGACCGCGCAACCGACAGAGCGAGACTCGACAAGACCAAATTCCTCGCTTGCCTCCGGTCCGCCAAAAAAGGGCACGGCAGCAGGACCGTCGGGGGTCCGCGTTGAGCACCTCAAGCCGCTGCTGGAACACGAAGAGCCCATGGACCTGCTTGGATTCGCCGCCGCTGCCCTCGCGGAGGCGCGGGTGCCCTCCCCGATTGCCCGCGCTCTAGCCCTCTGCAAGATGACGGCGCTCCAGAAACCAGACAACGGAGTACGGGGCATCGCCACCGGCGACGTTTTCCGCCGACTGGTCACCAGGGCGCTCGCTCAACAGTTCGCCGAGCAGTTCGCGGCCGCAACTGCGCCCTTCCAGTTCGCCCTGACGACGCGGGCAGGAACCGACTGCGCCGCCATGCTGCTGAGGTCAGTGCTGGACCACGACGACGACGCAGTGACTGTCAGCATCGATGGAGTCGGGGCTTTCGACCATGTGTCGAGGTCCGCCTTCTTCCAGGAGCTCCTTGCTCGCCCAGAGCTGGCCGGCTTAATCCCCTTCGTGAAGATGTGGTACGGGCAAGACTCCACCTACCTCTGGCAAGACGAAATGGGGACTGTACACGACGTGCACCAGGGAGAGGGAGTGGAGCAGGGGGACGCGCTGGCCCCAGCCCTCTTCGCTCTTGCCCTGCACGGAGCGCTGGCGGGCGCCTCCAGGACCCTAGAGCAAGGGGACTTCCTAGTCGCTTTCTTGGACGACGTGTACATCAAGACCACCCGGGCCAGGGCCAGAGCCGCTTTCGACACCACCACCGGAGCAATTCACCTCCACGCAAACGTGGATTGCCACCTTGGCAAGTGCCGGGCCTACAGCAGGGGCGGAGGCGCAGCGCCGCCCGGAATTGGCGAGCTGGGACAAGACGTCTGGAGGGGTGACAGAGCACCACCCGACCGAGGAATCAAGATCCTTGGCACCCCCCTAGGCACCCCAGAATTCGTCGCCGCACACCTGGAGAGCAGACTACAGGAAGAGAGGAGACTCCTGGACGAACTGGCGCACCTGCCCGACCTACAGTGCGCTTGGCTCCTCCTCCTCCTTTGCGCCTCCCCGCGGGCCAACCACCTGCTGCGAACCCTGCCGCCAGAGGAAATCGCAGAATACGCGAGAGGCCACGACGGCGACATGTGGGCCACCCTGCGCCGCCTCCTCGGGGACCCCGCAATGTCGCAAGACGAAGAGCGACGGGCGCGCGCACTGGCAGCAATGCCTGGACGACACGGAGGACTCGGGCTCCAAAGCGCCGCGCGCACGTCCCCAGCGGCCTACTGGGGCGCTTGGGCAGACGCCCTACACATGCTCCACCAACGGCGCCCCGTTGAAGCTGCAGCGATCAGGGACCTCCTCGACGGCACCAGGCCCGGCCGTAGGGGCAACCTTGCCGCAGCCGCCGCGGCCGCACAGCTGCTAGAAACCGAAGGCTTCCGGAGACCTTCCTGGACCGACCTGCTCCAGGGGCTGCGCCCAGAAGCGCCGCCGCGCTCGGAGGCCGCCGAACCGGGGGAATGGCAGCACGGCTGGCAGTTCCACGCTTGTTCCGCACGCAACACACACTACAGGGACAACGTGTTCATGCCCAGCCTCACCAGGGCCAACCAGGCCATGCTAAGGTCAGGCTCAGGACCGAGGGCCGCCTACTGGCTTCACACCTTACCCACCACCGAGGGGCACGTGTTCAAGCCCGCGCGGTTCCTGGCAGCCCTGCGCCGGCGCCTCAGGCTCCCGCTGCCGCTCCTCCCGCACACCTGCGGGGCAGCCGGCCACCCAGGCTGCCGGGCCCGGCTGGACACGCTGGGAGACCACCTAGCCGCGTGCCCACGCACGGGGCTTCTCGCCAGACGCGCGAAACCGCTCGAACGAGCTTGGGCGAGGGTCGCCAGAGAAGCAGGAGGGAGAGTTGTCCCCCAACAGCTGCTGCGGGACACTAACGCCATTGTCCACAACCCGCTGGACCGCAGACAATTAGACCTAGTCGTCTACGGCATCTCGCCGAACGGCGTCCCGCTGTGCTGCGACAGCACCATGGTGTCCCCCCTCCGCAGGGACGGCTGGCACCGGCCGCGCACCTTCGACACCGACGGCGCCGCGCTACTTGGGGCCGAAAGGCGCAAACGACGCAGGTACCACGAACTCACGACCGGCCATTCAGGCCGCCTCATGGTCCTCTCCTGCGAGGTCGGAGGCAGGTGGGGCCGCGATTCCCTCCAGCTGGTACGCCTGCTTGCCAAGCAGAAGGCGCGGGCCGCGCCGGCCCTCCTCCGCCGCTCCGCGGAGCTCGCGTACACCAACCGCTGGTGGGGGTTCCTGAGCGTCGCGGCCCAGGACTCGCTCATGGCCACCCTGACGGGCGACGGCTACCTAGCCTTGGGGGGAGCCGCCGGGGAGGACGACCCAGACCTGGCCGAAGTGCTGCTCGCAGACTCCGCCGGCCCACCCGCTAGCCGCCTGCCAGCACGCCCCTGATGCTTGGCGCCGCGGCCAGCACGGCCGCCCCGGGGGGCTCCGACGAGCGCCGGGAGCACCCCCGACACGGCAGCGGGCACCACGAGGAGGTTAGCAGTACCACCACCACCACAACGGCGACCAGCAGCACCATCGCTTCGACTGCGACCCGCAGCAGAACCACCACCAACACCACCACCACGAGAGCGACCCGCAGCACCACCACGACCACGACCAGGAGCACCACGACTGCGACCAGCAGCACCACGACTGCGACCAGCAGCAGCACCACCACGACTACGACCAGCAGCAGCACCACCACCACGACCAGCAGCACCACCAGCACCACCAGCACAAGCAGCACCACCACGACTGCGACCAGCAGCACCACCACGACTACGACCAGCACCACCACGACTGCAACCAGCAGCAGCACCACAACGACCAGCAGCACCACCACCATTACCAGTAGAACCACCAGCACCACCACGACGGCGACCAGCAGCCCCACGACTGCGACCAGCAGCGCCACGACTGCGACCAGCAGCACCACGACTGCGACCAGCAGCAGCACCACCACGACTGCGACCAGCAGCACCACCACTACGACAGCGACCCGCAGCACCACCACGACCACGACCACGACCAGCAGCACCACGACAGCGACCAGCAACACCACGACTGCAACCGGGAGCAGCAGCACCGAGACAGCGACCAGCAGCACCACCACGACCAGCACCACCAGCACAACCAGCACTACCACGACTGCGACCAGCAGCACCACCACCACTACGACCAGCACCGCCACGACAACGACCAGCAGCACCACCAGCACCACCAGCACAAGCAGCACCACCACGACTGCGACCAGCACCACCACCACGACAGCGACCCGCAGCACCACCACGACCACGACCAGGAGCACCACGACTGCTACCAGCAGCACGACGACTGCGACAAGCAGCAGCACCACCACGACTACGACCAGTAGCAGCACCACCACCACCACGACCAGCAGCATCACCAGCACCACAAGCACAAGCAGCACCACCACGACTGCGACCAGCAGCACAACCACGACTACGACCAGCACCGCCACGACTGCAACCAGCAGCAGCACCACAACGACCAGCAGCACCACCACCACGACCAGCAGCACCACCAGCGCCACTACGACGGCGACCAGCAGCCCCACGACTGCGACCAGCAGCACCACGACTGCGACCAGCAGCACCACGACTGCGACCAGAAGCAGCACCACCACGACTGCGACCAGCACCACCACCACGACAGCGACCCGCAGCACCACCACGACCACGACCAGCAGCACCACGACCACCACGACCAGCAGCACCACCAGCACCACTAGCACAAGCAGCACCACCACGACTGCGACCAGCAGCACCACCACGACTACGACCAGCACCGCCACGACTGCAACCAGCAGCAGCACCACCACGACCAGTAGCACCACCAGCACCACCACGACGGCGACCAGCAGCCCCACGACCGCGACCAGCAGCGCCACGACTGCGACCAGCAGCACCACCACCACGACAGCGACCCGCAGCACCACCACGACCACGACCAGGAGCACCACGGCTGCGACCAGCAGCACGACGCCTGCGACCAGCAGCATCACCACGACTACGACCAGCAGCACCACCACCACCACGACCAGCAGCACCACCAGCACCACTAGCACAAGCAGCACCACCACGACTGCGACCAGCAGCACCACCACGACTACGACCAGCACCACTACGACTGCAACCAGCAGCAGCGCCACAACGACCAGCAGCACCACCACCACGACCAGCAGCACCACCAGCACCACCACGACGGCGACCAGCAGCCCCACGACCGCGACCAACAGCGCCACGACTGCGACCAGCAGCACCACGACTGCGACCAGCAGCAGCACCACCACGACTGCGACAAGCAGCACCACCACCACGACTGCGACCCGCAGCACCACCACGACCACGACCACGACCAGCAGCACCACGACAGCGACCAGCAGCACCACGAGTGCAAGCGGGAGCAGCAGTACCGAGACTGCGACCAGCAGCACCGCCACGACCAGCACCACCAGCACAACCAGCACTACCACTACCACGACTGCGACCAGCAGCACCACCGCCACTACGACCAGCACCACCACGACTGCGACCAGCAGCAGCACCACAGAGACCAGCAGCACCACCACGACCAGCAGCACCACCAGCACCAACACGACGGCGACCAGCAGCCCCACGACTGTGACCAACAGCGCCACGACTGCGACCAGCAGCACCACGACTGCGACCAGCAGCAGCACCACCACGACAACGACCAGCAGTACCACCACTACGACCGCGACCCGCAGCACCACCACGACCACGACCAGCAACACCACGACTGCGACCAGCAGCGCCACGACCGCAACCGGGAGCAGCAGCACCGAGACAGCGACCAGCAGCACCACCACGACGAGCACCACCAGCACAACCAGCAATACCACGACTGCGACCAGCAGCACCACCACGACTACAACCAGCACCACCACGACCGCGACCAGCAGCAGCACCACCACGACCAGCAGCAGCACCACCTCGACCGCGACCAGCAGCACCACCACGACTACTACCAGAAGCACTACGACTGCCACCAGCAACACCACGACCACGACCAGCACCAGCACGACCACGACTGCCACCAGCAGCTCCACCACCACGGCCAACAGCAGCACCAGCACCACCAGCACAACCAGCACCACCACTACTACTACTACTACTACTACTACTACTACTACTACTACTACTACTACTACTACTACTACTACTACTACTACTACTACTACTACTACTACTACTACTACTACTACTACTACTACTACTACTACTACTACTACTACCACTACTACTACTACTACTACTACTACTACTACTACTACTACTACTACTACTACTACTACTACTACTACTACTACTACTACTACTACTACTTGACTACTACTACTACTACTACTACTACTACTACTACTACTACTACTACTACTACTACTACTACTACTACTACTACTACTACTACTACTACTACTACTACTACTACTACTACTACTACTACTACTACTACTACTACTACTACTACTACTACTACTACTACTACTACTACTACTACTACTACTACTACTACTACTACTACTACTACTACTACTACTACTACTACTACTACTACTATACTACTACTACTACTACTACTACTACTACTACTACTACTACTACTACTACTACTACTACTACTACTACTACTACTACTACTACTACTACTACTACTACTACTACTACTACTACTACTACTACTACTACTACTACTACTACTACTACTACTACTACTACTACTACTACTACTACTACTACGACAAGCAGCACCAGCACAACCGCGACCAGCAGCACCAACACGACTGCGACCAGCAGCCCCACGACTGCGACCTGCAGCGCCACGACTGCGACCAGCCGCAGAACCACTACCAGCACCACCACCACGACTGCAACCCGCAGCACCACCACGACTGCGACCAGCAGCACCAAAACTGCGACCAGCAACACCACGACTGCGACCAGCAGCAGCACCACCACGACTGCGACCAGCAGCAGCAGCACCACCACCAAGACCAGCACCACCAGCACAACCAGCACCACCACGACTGCGACCACCAACGCCACCACGACTACGACCCGCAGCACCACGACTGCGACCAGCAGCGGCACTACCACGACCGCAACCAGCAGCAGCACCACCAACACGACCACGACCAGCAGCAGCACCACCACGACTACGACCAGCACCAATTCCGACCGGCAACACGACCCCCAGCAACGACGGGCACCACCTGCAACGACCAGCAGCAACGACGCGCACCTGCCTGCACGACGGCGCGCACCGACGACGCCCACCGCCCCTTCCCCTCGCCTTTCCCTCGGCCTCTGTCCCCTCGTCTCGGTCCCGTCTCGTTCGCCCCCTGCCCCCGCGTCGTTCGCCCCTCGCCGTTCGGGCCCGGCTCGTGCCCCTTGCCCCCTCGTCCTCCGTCCCCCGCCCGCCCCACCCCCGCCTGGAGTCCAGACCCAGCCGCGCCTGCGAGACAAGGGAGCAGTGGCAGCAGGCTATGGCGCTGCTGATTCCCAAACTGGGGCCCAACGTCATCAGTTGCATCGCTGGGGCCAGCGCACGTGAGAAAAATGGGCAGCGGCAGTGGCAGCGAGCCAGGGAGGAGAGCGAGGCGGCAGAGGAGGAAATAGAAGAGGAGGAGAAGGCAGCGGACGAGCAGGACCAGGTCGAGGAGGAGGAGGAGGCGAAGATAACCGCGCTCGACGTCAGCAGGCAGTGGCAGCGAGCCAGGGAGTCAGGACGTGGAGGGGGAGGAGGAAGACGGGAGGTGATGGCGGAGCCAAGCGTCATCAGCTACAGCTCTGGGATCAGCGCACGCGCGAGAGGCGAGCAGTGGCAGCGGGCTCTCTCACTGCCCAGCGAGATGCGGGAGGCGAAGGTGGAGCCAAGTGACATCAGCTATAGCTTTGGGATCAGCACCTGCGCGAAAGACGAGCAGTGGCAGCGGGCTCTACCACTGCTCAGCGGGATGTGGGAAGTGAGGTTGGAGCCGAATGGCATCAGATACATCCCTGGGATCAGCGCGTATGCGAACGGCGAGCCGTGGCAGCAGGCTCTCCCACTGCTCAGCGAGATGTGGGACGCGAAGGTGGAGCCAAGCGTCATCTCTACTACATTGCAGGGCCCAGTGCGTGCCAGAAGGGCGCAGGCCCCAATGCACCGAAACCGCCCCGGGCTGGCCCCGGGCCGCCCCGGGCCGCCCAGGCAGGCCCCAGGACATGTCGAGAGGGCCCCCAGATTTCCCCAAGACGGCCCCGGAGAGCTCGGCACGCTGAAAGATGGGCCCAAGACGCCCGAGATTCGCCCCAGGCGGCCCAAGAGGCGTC